TAGGAGGTGGAGGAAGAGGAGGAGGAGGAGGAGGAGGAGGAGGAGGAGGAGGAGGAGGAGGAGGAGAAGGCGGAGGAGGTGGAGGAGGAGGAGGAGGAGGAGGAACAGGAGGAGGAGGAGAAGGAGGAGGAGGAGGAGGAGGAGGAGGAGGAGGAGGAGGAGGAGGAGGATATGAGGTTGTTGAGGAGGAGTGGCGGCACCCCGCGGCAGCGCGGGGCACCCCGTTTGCTCCGCGCAGCAGCGGCACGCTGGACAAGCTGCACGCTGCCTTCCCCCCCGTTTCGGCTGCAGGCGGCCTGGCCCCGCCCGCGGGCCCTCGCGGGGCGGCCCCCGACCCAGACGTGTGGGACGAGGTTCAGGAGGACCGCCCCAGCTGACCGCGCCAGCCTTGCTCGGGGCCCGCCTGGAGCACTCCTGCACGGCGGGTGGCCCAGAGGCGTTTATTTTGCTAGCCCTGGCGGTCACGAAATTCACTTTCGGGGAATTGCCGGCGCCAGTTTTCCCAGCCTTCCGGGTGGGCGAGGTGGTGGCTTTGTTGGACAAGGGGGATGGGGATTCCCGCCCGCTGCTCGTGGGGGCCAGCCTCAAGAGACTCGGGATGAAAACGCTGCCGCGGGTCAAGAAAGCAAGGCTCCGCCAGGCCGCAGGCTCTCACCAGTATGGAGTTGGCCAGAGTTGCGGGGCCGACCTGCCGACGCTCATTTGGGGATGGTGTTCACTAAGGTGGACATCGAGGCGGCCTTCCAGCGGTTGCAGCGAGACCACGCCATCCGGGCCATGGTTGTGCACGTGCCGGAGGTCGCGGGGATGCTTGACCAGTGGGATTCGGGGCCTGCTAAACTTTTGGATTGACGCGGTGGGCAATTTCGAGGAGGTCGAGAGCACCCCCGGTTTCGACCAGGGGGACTCCCTGGCGCCGGCTGCCTACGGCTGGCCAGGGGGAGGCGATTTCCCAGCTATTGGAGGAGTTGATCGCCACGACCCGGATGTGCGACTCTACTCCTTCTTGGACGCCACCTACCTCCTTGCGCCTCTTGGGCTAGAGCTCAACGCCTTCAAAAAAGCAGGTCTGGTCTTCGACTGGGCAGCTGGCTGTGGCCCCTGAGGTGCGAGCGCATTCCGTGCCGGAGCTCCCCGTGTTCAGCGCGCGCCTGCGGGCGCGGGGCGATCGCGGCCGACGCGCCCTTCGAGCTGGACCAAAACAGCGGCCTCGAGCGGGCGGCCGAGCGCTCGGCGGAGCTCTGGAACGCCCTCCGGCCGCTGGGGAAGCACGCGGTCGGCGAGCACGGCCTCTCGCTGCAGGCGACCCGGAGCTTGCTGCACACTTGCGCGGGCGCAAGCCAGCGCGTCCTGCGCGCGCAGTTGGCCTGCAAGGCGGAGGCGGCGCGCTACGACACCACCCTGGCGGGCTACTGGGAGGAACTCGCAGGGCGGCCTGGACGCCGAGGCGCGGTCCTCGGCCTGCCGCTCAAGCTCTCTGGCGCGGGGCTGCAGTGGGCAACTACGCGACGTGCCGCTGCATTCTGGGTTGGACCGCGTGCGTGTCCAGCGTTGCCGCGGACCTCGGCGCCGACTCCCTGCTCGAGGTCCTGGACGCGGCGCCGGGCTTCGGCGAGGCCCTCTCCGACCCGCGGACGGAGCTGTCCCTCCACGGCGCGGACCCTGCGCCTGGCGCTTCCTTGCAGTGCGCCCTGCAGCACCTGGCGAAGTAGAGCACCCTCTTGCAAAAGAATACCCACGGTGCCCTGAGGCAGTACTTGCGCAGCCACGAGCGGGCGAATTTCCGGGGGGCCGGAGGGCCAGGGTCCGCGGGCTTCCTCGGCTACCCGAGTGACTTTTTTTGTGGTGGAAACCACAGGTCGCATTCGGCGGGAAGCCAGACAGTGGCTTCTTCGGCCGGCGCGGTTCGCTGGGCGACCGCCAGGTCGACGAGCTCACGAAAGCCTGCAGGGTCGTGAGCTGCGCGGTCCAAGCCCAGCTGGCTCTGCAGCGCCGCCGGGCGGCTGGACTGACCTGACTGCCATGGCCCCGCGGGCGCCCTCGCTCGACTTTTGGCCTCGCCCCTCCTCTGGCCGCCGCTTCGCCTTCGTCCTCCTGCCCTTTTCCTTGCCGCCGCTTCGCCTGGCCTCCTTCTTTCCCCCTCCTCCCCCTTCTCCTTCCCCTTTCCTTGCCTCAGGCGGGTGCGCGTGCGCCCAGCGGGGGAGTGGGGTGGCGCAGATTTCCCGGCCGCGCACCCGTCTTCCTCCGCCTCCTGGTTCTCTCCCAGCTCCTCCCCCCTCCCCCCTTCCCCTTTGCCCCAGTGAAAGCGGCTGTGGCCGGCTCTGAAGGGAAGCCGCGCGCTTCGCTGGCGCGAGCACCCCGGCAGGCTTGCTGCTGAAGCGTGGTTCGACCACGCTTGAAGCCCAATGCCCGGGCCCCCCTCTGTGCGATGGGGGTGGGGGCCCGCTCGGGTGCCCCCGGGCCAAGCGGGGGGAAAAAGAGGGCGAGGAGGAGGAGGATGAGGAGGAGGAGAAGGAGGAGGAGGAGGAGAAGGAGGAGGAGGAGGAAAAAGAAGGAGGAGAAGGAGGGCGAGGAGGAGGAGGAGGAAAAGGAGGAGAAGGAGAAGGATGAGGAGGAGGAAAAAGAAGGAGGAGGAGGAGGAGGAAAAAGAGGAGGAGGAAAAAGAGGAGGAGGAGGAGGAGGAGGAGAGGAGGAGGAGGAGGAGGAGGAGGAGAAGAAGGAGGAGGAGGAGGAGGAGGAGGAGAGGAGGAGGAGGAGGGAGGAGGAGGAGGAGGAGGAGGAGGAGGAGGAGGAGGAAAAGGAGGAGGCGGAGGAGGAGGCGGAGGAGGAAGAGGAGGAGGAGGCGGAGGAGGAGGAGGTGGAGGAGGAGGATGAGCGCGGAGGAGGAGGAGGAGGAGGAGGAGGAGGAGGAGGAGGAGGAGGAGGGGGAGGAGGAGAAGGAGAATCAGGAGGAGGAGGAGGAGGAAAAGCATGCAAAAACATGGTTCTCGGGATTCCTGACGCCACGGGTCAGCCTTACTGTTGCGTCTTGACGATCATGGATCGTACCAGACGTCGCTCCTAGGACTTCAACACAATCAAACAACATAACTGTAGCACCCGCATAAGCCTGAATCTCTCCAGCACGCCATTTCCGGTACGCTGATGGTGGGAATCCGTGAAACTGTTGAACATGTTGTGAACGATTGTGCGCGGCGCTAAGGCGAGAACCACATTTCGAAAACCACCCGCCCTCAATCCGTGAAGTTCTTGCAAATTATGAAAACGAATGTGCGCCGCGCTAAGGCGAGAGTCACATGTTGAAAACCACTCGCCCTCAATCCGTGGAGCCCTTGTCAAGTATTAAAAATATTATCTCTGTCGCTAAGACGAGAACCACAACTTGAAGACCACCCGCCCTCAGTCCGTGAAGCCCTTGTAAATTTTTGAAACGAATGTGCGCCGCGCTAAAGCGAGAGCCACGTTTTGAAAACCACTCGCCCTCAATCCGTGAAGCTCTTGTACACGTTCAACACGAATGTGCGCCGCGCGGAGTCGATGTCCACAATTGGAACGCCACCCGCCCCCGAACCCGTGATGCTTGCAGGTGTTAAACAACGAATGCGCGCCAGGCCCGGGCAAGAACCACATTTGGAACACGACCCGCCCTCCACCCGTGAAGCCATTGCCGATTCTTCAGCTTCCGAGTCATAAATGGTGGGGACGTCTCCGGCGAAAAACGCCCGGCCCGTCCTCAAAACTGGCCCAACGGGGTGCGACAGGGAGAAGTTATTCAGAAGAAAGAGGGATGGAGGAGCAGGAGGAGGAGGCGGAGGAGGAGGAGGAGGAGGAGGAAGAGGAGGAGGAGGAGGAGGAGGAAGAGGAGGAGGAGGAGGAGGAGGAAAAGGAGGAGGAGGGGGGACGGCCAGGAGGAGGAAAAACAAACAAAAGGAGGAGGAGGAGGAGGAGGAGGAGGAGGAGGAGGAGGAGGAGGAGGAGGAGAGGAGGAGGAACGATGAGGAGGGTCGATGCTATCGGACGCTTCTGGCCTCTTCCTTGGCCGTCGGTGGCCTCCAGATGCTTCTGGTGACCTGTGAGGGGGGGGGAAGGATGGGCGGAGGCATGGGACAAGGAGCGGATTGATGGGGACGTGATTGGGAAGGGCAAGCGGAGATGGGAAAGTGAGGGGTGGGGCGTGGGACGTCGAATTGCCCTTTCTACCCCTACCTGCCCCTGTCTCTTGCTGGGCTTTAGTTGTGTTCGGCTTGCGGGGGCTCATGAGTCGCAGTGTCGCAGGGAAGTGACGGTGAACCGGTAGGGAAGATGGGCGGAAAACATGCAAACGCACCAAACATAGATACCACAAGAGGCCGCAGGAGGGCGGGAGGGTGGGGCACGATTTCGGTGATTGGCTGCCAGGGGGTTCGTGCCAATAGCAGGAGAGCAGGCGCTTGAGTTGATGGCAGCGAATATGGTTGCAACTGGGTCGGGCGCGAATTTTTTGGGAGGGGTCGCTGAAACCTTTCGCGTTCGAGCCATGGGAGGACGAGCATGTTGACGTAACTGGGATGACATCGTAGATGGTCCATTGGGGAGATGATAGATCCATCTGACTGTCTTGAGGAGCCGTCTGCTCTCATCATTAGTTGAGTGTCTGTTCTTGCTCGCGGGCTGAAGGCATCCCTGGGATCGGAGGCTAAAGAAGCCGACAGCACCTCCAGCGAGCCACCTCCAGGGAGGAGTTCCATGATGCCCCTCCGATTTGAGATGTCTCGACTGGGAAGTCGAAAAATTTGGGGACCACGCCACCAGGATTACCCTCCCCTGGCTCCTCGCGGTGGTGGTGGCTCCGTTTTTTGGCTCCTGTCAGGCGGCCTCCCACATTGCCTCTCTCGTGTGAGATGCGACCGCCCTGCAGCCATTTTGGCCGAAGGGGCGGCTCTAATAATTCGCAAGAGTGCTCTTACAGAGCCACCCTGCCGCACGCTCGGCGCCGCCCCTCGATGTCCTACGCAGGCCAGCCGGTGGCCTACGCGGCGCCCCCGCAGTACACCGCATACGCGGCGCCACCGACATACGCGTACACGGCGCCCTCGACCACGGCGTACCAGTACGCGGCGCCTCCGTCACCGGGATACCAGTACTACCAGCAGCAGCCCGCGGCGACTTACGCGGCACCAGCGGCCACCTACGCGCAGCCCGAGGCAGCGGCGTACGCTGCGCCAGCGCCGACCTACGCGTACGCGCAGCCCGAGGCGGCGGTGTACGCGGCGCCAGCGCCGACCTACGCACAGCCCGCGACGTACTCCTACGCGGCTCAGCCGGCCGCGCCCAGCTACAGCTACACGCCGGCGCCGGTGGAGTACGCCCAGGCGGCCTACTCGCAGCCGCCCGTGGCGTACTACCAGCAGCCCGTGTCCTACGTGCCCCCCGCCGACCCGTACGGCCTGGCCGCCCCGGCCTACCAGCCCGCCTACCAGCAGCCCGCCTACCTGCCGACCGCGGCGTCCATGGTGGCGGCCCCGATGCCCGCGGGGCTGCAGAGCGCGCCGTCCATGGTCGCCTACCCGATGTACGGCGGCGGCGCGCAGCAGATGTACGCGCCGCAGCTGGGCGGGACGCCCGGGCACCCCTCGCCGACGGGCCACGACGGCTACACCGGCATGGGCACCGGCTACCAGGACCAGATGGGGGCGAGCACGTCCGGGACCGGACCCGCCGCCTCCAGCACGGCGATGCCTCCGCCGAGCGCCTCGAAGAAGCCCCTGCCCAAGAAGAGGCTGGACACGAAGAAGAAGACGGACAGCAAGGGGAAGAAGAAGGGCAGCTGCTGCTGATGGGCTCGGCCAGCGGCCGTAATTCGCCGAAATGTTGTAAGGGAGCCTCTCGCCAACGGCACTGGGCGGGCAGCTGGGGACGGGGGGGGGGAGGGTCGGCCCGGGAGGGTCGGCTCGAGCGGGTGGGGGCGAGCTCCCATGCGAGTGCGCGGGCGGGCCCTGGCCGGGTGGACGGCCGCCCCCCTGTCGGGCGGGTCGTCCAGGGCCTTGACGGCCTCGTCGTTGCGGGGGAGCGGGCTCTGGCGGGCGGGGCGGGGTGGGGCGGGCCCCGACGGACGTGTCGGGTGAGGGGGGGGAGAGGGGGCAAGAACGTCAGGTCTGACTGAGACCACTCTCCCCCCCGGGAGCAGCTGGGGCGCGGGGAGGAAGACCCGGGCCCCAGACCCCCGGCGTCAGGATTGCGTGACCCCCCTTCCCCAGGGACCAGCTCTTCCTCCTGCGACGTCCTCCGACGGCCCCGGGGCCCAGCGAAGGCCCCCACAGCCGCACACCTTTGGAGCCTTCGTCCTGCTTCTTTCATCGGGGGCGGAAAAGAGGGGGGTGATGACTAGGGGGGGGTGGATATCACGGCGGGGGCCATGATATTTCCCCAGATTTCATGGCGCCTCTTCTTGTTTCATTACGTCCCTGGTCCCCCCGCTGGGCCGCGCACATGCCGCCACTCATGATTTGCACCCCCCCCTCTTGGACACCCCCCTCTTGGCCGCTCCCGATTTCATGGCGCCAGGGGGTCTGGGGCTGGAAGCCCCCGACCTGTGCACCCGGCGCTGCAGCCGTCTCGGCAGCGGCACCACCTGCGCGCTCGACGCGCGCAGAGCAGCGCGAGGGCGGGGCCTCGCGCAGGGGGGGAGCGGCGCTCCGGCCGTCGGGGGGCCGCGGCCCCGCCCTTAAGAGGGGCACTTCTGAGGGGCGAGAGTCTGACCGCCCTCAAGAGTCGGGTCGGGCGAAACGGGGGGATTGGGAAAGGGGGGGTCACGAAATTTGCTGCATGCAGCTGGTTTCGGCCTCACCGAGGGGCCCACTCCTCGATACATAGCCGCCTCCGGCGCCGGGAGGCGCCGGGAAAATCAGCTACGTGAGCTGATTCTCAACCCCCCCCTTTGCTATCCCCCCCTTTCGACCGACCCGAAAGAGGCCTGGACCTCGGCTCCTGCCCAGGGCTCCCTCGGGTCATGGACAAAGTCGCGCTGTGGAGGTTCTTCGTTACGTTCGGCCTCTGGAGGCCCACGCCGGGTCCCGGGGCCGTAGCGAAAGCGACTCGGGAAGAAAAATTGGTGCTGGGGAAGGGGTCCAAAGGGGGTCCAGGTTCCGACCTCGGGGGTCTGCTTCGCAGAAGCTTTCTTGGAGGCCTTGTCTGAAGGCTCTCATCAGACGTCTCTCAGTCTGCGCAGAAGTCTCTCAGAAGCCCCTGAGTCGTCTGAGGTCCTGGGAGCCTCTCAGTCTTAGCCCTCTTAGAAGCCAGACTCTCAAAAAGGATCGAAGTAGATGGGGTCGGAGGATCGCGCTGCATCGCCGATGCATCGCCGATGGGACTCGATGTGGAGCACGATTATCTCCACGCCGTCACCGCCAATGCATCAGACGATGCGTCGGCGATGCATCGGCGATGCGGCGCGATCCTCCGATACCATCTGCTCGTACCCCACTTACGAGGCCTCTGTAGACGTGTTGAAGCTTGTCATACAGCCGAGCATCTGGTTCAGAAATCTCCTCCCGAAAAGCTGGGCCAGCGTTTTCTAACCAACTCGCCGGGAAGCTAGCCCAGTCTCTCCAGTGTGAACAGGCACGTAGGCCCAGGCTTGTTTTCAGGTCTTTCCAGGAAGCTGGCCCAGATTTCTGAAATTATAATTCCTCACGCTTCGCGTGTCCCCGCCAGCCCATCCCTGCCCGTGAGAGTTGGCGGGAAAAGGTACGAAAAGGACCCCTTGCCAAGGATTCTGGGAGAGGCAAAAAAAATGTCGTTAGACCACCTTGGCCCAAAAGGCTGGTGGGGTTTTCTTGACCATATTTGTGGCCGCAGCCCAGAAGAACCCTTTGCCCGAGCCGCTCTCGAGGCTTGCTACCTCTTCTCTCGATGCCTCGTACCTGCCCCCCGGGGGCTTTTCCAGCGCGCGCCGGGGCTGTGCCGCAGTCAGCCGAGGCTCCAACCCACTGGGCCCAGGATGGGCCGGGCCAGGGCTTAGCTTCCGCCTCATGAATACATCTGTCGCCGCGCCGCTTGTGCCGACGCGCGGCCTTGTTTCGCCGTGGGTTTGCCGCGGTGCAAGCGTCTTCTACTTGGGCGCGAGGCGCAGGGCTTGCCGTGGGTTTGCCGTGGTGCCGGCGTCGTCCATCCATCTGGTAGCGTCGAGAACAAACGGCGCGGCGTCATATACACAGACACCCTCCAGTGGATCGTTCCTATGTCTCAGACGAGGGTGGCGGTGTATACGTCACCACTGATCGCCAGCGACTTTCTACACAGCCGCCGTCCCTGAAGGTGCATGCACAATTTGTCGGAGGAGCCTTGTGTATGTACGTACGTACGTATGTGTATATATGCATGCATGTATGCATGTATGTCTGCGTGTGTGTGTGTGTGTGTGTGTTTGCATGTGTGTGTATGTATGCATTTATGCATGCGTGTATGCATGTATATATGTATGCATGCATGTCTGTGTATGTCTATGCATAGATATGTAGTATATTGGATTGTGTTGTGTTGTATTGCATTGTTTGGTATACTATTGTTTTGTAGTTCATTGCAATGCATTGCACGTCGTTGCAATACATTGTATTGTACGTATGGGTGTATTGTATTGTCTTGTGTTGTACTGTATTGTATGGTAGTGTATTGCATTGTATTGTATTGTCTTGAGGGGGGAGGCCCAAACGGGCAGGTTTCGCACGCCCTGAGCGTGTGCTCTGGATGTGTGGGGTGGGTACAAAATTGGCACCTCTCGCGCAGATCGGCGGGGTCAGGGTCCAAAAACCCAGGATTTGCCACATTTCTGAAATTCGGTGGCACCACTCACGCAGGTCGGCGGGGTCAGGATCCAACAACAAAGGGGATTTGCCACACGTCTTAAAATTGCTGGCACCCCTCACGCAGGTCGGCGGGGTCAGGGTCCAACAACACACAGGATTTGCTACATTTCTGACACTCCGTGGCACCCCTCACGCAGATCGGCGGGGTCAGGGTGCAAACAACACAGAGGATTTGCCACATTTCTGAAATTCGTTGGTACCCCCCTCGCAGATCGGCGGGGACAGGGCGCAAACAACACAGAGGATTTACCACATTTCTGGAATTCGTTGGCACCCCTGACGCAAATCGGCGGGGTCAGGGTCCAACAACAAAGGGATTTGCCACATTTTTGAAATTCGATGGCACCCCTCACGCAGATCGGCGGGGTCAGGGTCCAACAACAAAAGGGATCTGCTACATTTCTGACACTCCGTGGCACCCCTCACGCAGATCGGCGGGGTCAGGGTGCAAACAACACAGAGGATTTGCCACATTTCTGAACTTCGTTGGCACCCCTCACGCAGATCGGCGGGGTCAGGGTCCAACAACAAAAGGGATTTGCCACATTTCTGAAATTCGGTGGCACCCCTCACGCAGATCGGCGGGGTCAGGGTCCAACAACAAAAGGGATTTGCCACATTTCTGAAATCCGATGGCCCCCCTCACGCAGTTCGGCTGGGTCAGGGTCCGAAAACCAATGGGATTCTCAACATTTCTGAAGCCTGGTGGCACCTCTCACGCGGATCGACAGTGTCAGGGTTCAAAAACGCATGGGATTTGCCACATTTTTGAAATTCGGCGGCACCCCCCACGCAGATCCGTAGTGTCAGGGTGCAAAAACACACAGGATTTGTTACATTGTTGAAATTCTGTGGCACCTGTCACGCAGATCGGTAGGGTCAGGGTCGAAAAACAAACAGGTCCCGACACTGCTTCACGGCGGCGCCCAGACCTAATGATTTAGCTTTTGCATCTCCCATCATCCGAGACAGGGGTTCGGCGGCATGGGGCGAAGCCCTTACGGATACATACATGTATATATATATATAATATAAATATATGCATGTATGTATGGGTGGGTGTGCATGTATGTATGTATGCATGTATGCATGCATGTCTGTAATCATGTATGCATGTACATATGTGTGTGATGCGGATGTATGTCTGCATGCATGCATGGCTGTATTTATGGATGTATGCATGCATGTATGCATGCATGTAAATCTATAGATAGATCTATGTCTATGTTTGCATGCATGTATGTATGTGTGTGTGTGTGTGAATGCGCGGATGTATGAATGCATGCATGCATGCATGCATGTATGTGTGTATGTATGTATGTATGTATGTATGTATGTAGGTAGGTAGGTAGGTAGGTATGTATGTATGTATGTATGTATGTATGGACGTACGTACATACGTATGTCTGTATGTATGCATGCATGCATGCATGCATGCATGTAAGTATGCATGCATGTATGTATGTGTGACTGCATTCATGCTTGTGAGCATATCAGGGTGAGGGGGGCGAACGGTCATTCATTATCCCTGGGTGCGTGGCTGAATAGGGAATTCGTGGTGAGAATGTTGCTTGTTTTGTTTTTATTGTTGTTGTTGTTGTTGGTGCTGCTGTTCTTGTGCTTGCTCTTGTTATTGTTCTTGTTCTTGTTCTTGTTCTTGTTTGTTGTTGTCGTCCTCCCACCCGCGACCCACCCGCCTCCCAACCCGCGACCCGCCCCGCGACCCACCCCGCGACCCACCCCTCGACCCCACCCGCGACCCACCCCGCGACCCAACAAACGACCCACCCGCGACCCTCCCCGAGACCCACCCGCGACCCACCCCCGACCCACCTTCGACCCACCCCGCGACCCACCCGCGACCCGCACAAAAGGGGGCTCCACTGAAGGCCCAAGCTGCAGGCAGGGCCCGCATGCTGCATGCCATGCCCATTTCGGCATACCCCTCACACGTTTCGTGGCGCCATACGGAG